GGGACCCCCCCCAGACCCTCCCAGTGCTCCCAGTTACCACGGCCACGGCCTCCAGCAGCGGGGTGCTGCCATAACCTCCCACAGGACCCCCCAAAACTCCCCAGGGACCCCCCCCAGACCATCCCAGTGCTCCCAGTTACCACGGCCACGGCCTCCAGCAGCGGCGTGCGGTTGCCCTCGGCGCCGTTGGCCCAGCCGGGGTCGGCGCCGTGCGCCAGCGCCTCGGCCATGGTGGGCAGGCGGCGGCGCCGGGCGGCCCAGAAGAGCAGAGCCCCGGGGTGCAGGCAGGGGGCGCCCTCGGGCTCAGCGGCATCCGGGGGCGGGGCTAAGGGACACGCCCACGCGGGGGTAAGCCACGCCCGTTCCAAGAAAAGCCACGCCCACGCTCATCGCAGCCCGCCCCAAGGAGGGAATGGGGGGGGAAGGGGTTGTAAGCCACGCCCACATAGAGCAGGCCACGCCCACAATTGATACCACAAGCTCCACCCACCATGGAACAAGCCCCACCCATTGGATGAGAAGCCACGCCCACAAGAGTCACCACAAATAAGCCCCACCCACCAAAGAACAAGCCCCACCCATTGCTGAGAAAAAGCCACGCCCACAACAAAGATAAATGAGCCCCACCCACCAAACCAGACTCAGCCCTTGGTTGTGAAGCCACGCCCACAACAAACATCCCTAATAAGCCCCACCCACCAAACAAGCCCCACCCTCTAGCTAAGAAGCCACGCCCACAACAGATGACACAAATAAGCCCCACCCACCAAACAAGCCCCACCCCTTGGTTGTGAAGCCACGCCTACACCACAAGCAGCAGCCTATCAAGATTCAGGCCCAACAAGCCACACCCCCTAAGCCACACCCACATCATCACCGCCTAATTACTAACACAAGCCCCACCCCTTGCCATCAAGCCCCTCCCCTTGAGGAAACCCCACCCCTTCACACCCAGCCACGCCCCTTTTCCAGCAAGTCCCGCCCTACCCCATTACCTTGGGCGGGGCCTCCTCGGGGGGCGTGTCCCTGGCGCGGGGGGCGGTTCCGGGGGGCGGTGCCGGCCACGCCCCTCAGGAATTTCTTCTCCACGTACTTGGCCCGGATCCAACTCTCGCGCTGGGCCCTG